GTAAGTTTGACAAGAGCACAACTCTTAAGAACTGGGCTCAGGAAGAGTCCTGGAGGACACAGCCTACCAAGAAGGAGGCTCCACAGCAGGGCCCCGCAGCACACTGGGGCCGCCCTGCCTGACCGACTGACCGAGGAGCGCGCGGGCACAGCCAGTCTAGAAAGGATGGAGCAGTGGGCAGACTCCAGCGGCACTGTCTTTGTACCTTTCTAACCACCCCTAGCCTCACCTGGGCCCCCCACCTCTCCTTCCGAACCCTCTCCTGGGCCAGGAACCTGACCGGCGAGGCTGCTGGATCTTCCCTCTCTGAATGCTCCTGCAACTCCTTGCCTGTCCCCAACTTGTCACATCCCAGGGGTGCTCTCAACGGACTTTGCTTCTCTCTCACACCCACAGATCTGATCTCACGGGCTGGGGAGGACTGTCTTCTCCTCGCTTCCCCATCAGGCCTGCTGCCTGCCTTTCTTTCCTTCTTTCTTCGCTGCATTTTCTCTCAAAAACTCCAACTCCTTTGAGGCTGATGTCACTAGGTCCACTGTATTCCTCGATGCTGTCACCCTCGAACCTTCTGGTCACAGCCCTGACTCACCGAGGTTTTGGCTCAGAGCTCACTGCCCCACACACACACCCTCACTCCCGTGGGCTTTTGGGATCCCCACCTGTACAGTGACCTGGAACCCCATGGATCGCCAGAACCACCCAGCCACTGCTTGCCACTCATCACACTACCTCCAAACATAGAGGGCCAAACATCAGCCTTCCCGATGACAACCTTCTGTCCTTCCAGCTTGCTGTGGAAATGCCACTCCAACAACTCTTCACTTTCCCCAGGACCGCCAAGCCTCAGTCCAGACCACATTTCACTACTCGTTGCCCTCTCCTTACGTTTACCCACTTTCTGGGCTCCACAGTGGCCACGGCCGGCCATTACCTCTCACCCTCACACACTGTGGGCCCTGGGGTTTCCTCCTCTTTCTCCTCAACCTGCAAAGCCTTTCAACCGCCCCACTACCTGCCTTCCCCCCTCCTACACTTGAGGAGCTGAATGGTACTATAGAAAAACACCACATAACTGAGCTAATTAGTCTAAGTTGGCAATCACAAACGTGTTTTATTTGGCCGACAGCATGTTTGAAAATGCTTAAACTGAGGAATCTCACACATAAAAAAAGCGTTGGTTTTTTTAAAATTGTAAGCTCTAGCAGCTGTGGACAGCTATGTGCACATGGCAGGAACCACTTGAGCTGGAGAACAGACGCCCCCCTGACAGCAATAAAAATGATCTCAAGCACTACTTACATAGGTGCACACGGGCCACACAGCATGTGAAGTGCCTTGTATCTGTGAACTAACTTAACCCTCACAACAACTATATTATGCTGTACCATTATCCAGATAAAGAAACTGGGGCACTGCTCAGGGGAGTAGGTTTTGCACTGCCACACCACATTCAGGCCCTCCAGCCTCCATGGCGCTCAGCCACTGCGGACTGCCTCTTCGCGGCTGTAGCTACCACCAGGGCCCTTAGTTCACGTATGCTACCTGTTCTCCTGGGCTCCCCAACAGTCAGCCCACACTCCGACCCTCAGTGTCCCCCACCTTGGGGAGTCGCTGTGGACTCCTCCCCTCCCCTTCCTCCCTCCACACGCACCTCTCAGCGCATGCGTCAGCTCGCCCTCCGCATCCACTCGCTTCTCTCCATCTTCACTGCTCCCGTCCTTGCCCGCGTCTTTATACTTTACTCTCATGGCTTCCTAAGTAGTCTCCCAGCTTCCACTCTACTTTCTCTATCTCACAGTAGCCAGAGAGGCGTTTTAGGGCGTGACACAGGTGTGCGTGCGGGACGCGGACACCCGTCAGTGACTTCCCATTGTTCTCTGAGTAAAATCCAGACCTCTGACAACCGACAGTGGCGGCACGCCTCGGCCGCTAACGCTCCGGCTCACACGTGGGCCAGCAGGCTTCCTTCTTGCTCCTCAGAACCCCAGAGCCTCTTCCGCTCGCCGTTCTTCCCATCCCGATCTCTCTGCCTATGTTCTACGATTATTCTCCCTAATTGCAAGTGTCGCGGTCTGCAGTCTCTGTGCATTACTTCGTTTTCCCTACATCCCCGGTGACTTTTCTATCTCGGTCCCTGGTGTGTATGCCTGGCATTTGGGCTGTCAAGAGCATCTCTCAAGCTAATTAATTCATGTCTGCAGCTGACGTTTTCCCACTGCCCCTGGCACTACTGTTATGAGCACTACTTCTCCCTTCAGAACAAACAGGCACCCCACTGTGTGCCACCACTGCTCTTATCTTGAATCCACACCCAGGATTCTCCAGCCCATTTCACTCTTAGAGGGAAAAGGTCCTAGAAACCAGCCCATCCTATCCTGTTTTCCTAACTAGGATTTTTTCAGAGGTCCAGTAACACCATCACACCAATACTCGAGGAGAAAGTCTCACGTCACCCCTGAGGCAGCTCTGGGGCTCAGCCTGAACTTCCTTTAGCCAAAGCATCACAGCAATCTGAAACAGCCAATTCTACCACCCTTGCACCCAGGTCACCCTGGTCATGACCCCAAACAGAATGCCTATGTGAACTCACCTCTCCCAAAACCTCCTCTCACAAACTCAACTCTGCAGCCACAGAAAGAGGAAGGACATGTGCTCTTTGATGAGAGAACCTGAGCATTAAAACACTTCAAAAGTGCATGGCCAGGCGTGGCAACGCATGCTTGTAATTCCAACACTCAGGAGGCTAAGGCAGGAGGATTGCCACAAGTTCAAGGCCCACCTGGACTACATAGTGAGATCCTATCTCAGAAACCAAACAATAAAACAAAAGCAAAGAAACCTCCATGTACATGATTATGTGCTCTTACTGGTCAATTTCAAAAAACAGAGATGAGATTTCTTGGTCACTATGAACTCTTCACACAGGGCAAACAATGAAATATCAAATTATTAGTCAAGGTATAAAAATATTATTCTACTCTTATTTTTAAAACTCCCTCATCACTTCTCAGCCTTTTGGCTAAAATCAAGTGTAAAAATCCCTGGTCTCAGGCTTAACATCGTGGCACACACCTATAATCCCAGCACTCAGGAGGCAGAGGCAGGAGGATCACCACAAATTTGAGGCCAGCCTGGGTTATACAGTGAGTTCAGGGCCAGCCTGCACTACAAAGCAAGACTCTGTCTCAAAAAATCTCCCTAGTCTCTCTCAATAAAAGCTTTTTTCTCTGGATGGGTAGTAAAAAAGGTCACGATATACACAAGTCAGAATACAAAAGTTAACATTTTTTAGTATATCTGATACGTTTGTCTCTGAGAGCACTAACATATCCTTTCTCGTCTAGCTTTTTACCTTCCCAGAGAGGCCTAGACGCAGAAAGCAGATGGACTATGTTTCTCTGCCTATGAAAATCTTATTTACAGTGTTGTACAGTTCACACGGTGACCTCATATCTGGAACCTATTCCTCTCCCCATCTGCAGAGAACAACTGTTTGCATGTGGGGGGAGGCTCTGGCCATGGAGACTCATGATGTCACAGGCCGGAAGGAATCGCAAACCCCTGGGAATGACAGTTGTTATAGTGATCAGATTTTTGTGCCAAAAAAAAAAAAAAATCACTTCAAAAGCAAACATTAATACCATTTTGCAATATTTTCTCACCCTGTTGCTGTATAATTCTGTAAACAAAATCCTAAACTATTTTGCACTCAAGTCATAACTAAGGTTCCCCCTGCTCTTCTTCAAAATACAGTAACTTGGTCTTTATTCGACCCACTCATAAATAACTATTGATTCAACATAAATTTACTGAGCATCAGCCAAGGGCCAGGCCCAGGGCTAACTTGTAGAATAAGACATGCCCCTGCCATCAGGAAACGATGGGGAAAGAAAAAAAGCAAGAAATGGTAATGGGTTTAAAATGTAAACAAAAAGGCCACTCCATGAAAGGGGGAGAAGCCAACTCCGCTTGGAGAAGTAGGGGAACTGTGGGCAGAGGCTGAAAAGGCAGCACAGTTCCATCCAGCGGGTGTGAGAAGGAATTCCCTGCACCAGGAGCACAGTGCAGTCCCAGAGGAGTCCAGCTCACAGTCCTCGGAGGAAAAGTCCGCGAGCCCAGGGTTCATGGGGCAGAGCATTCCCAGAGGGAAATGGGAGGTGGGATGGGGGAGCCACGATGGTCCTCCTGCTGGAAACAAGGACAGCCAGGACACTGCAGACAGGTGGAGATCAGGACTCGAAGCAGTGAAGAGCAAATGCACTCTTCAGTGCAGAGTGACAGCTCATCCCCGGTCCTCCCAAGAGCACCCTGTGACGTGTTCCTATCTGTGCCTCTTCCTGGCTCACAGGACACTGAACACTGACTCAGCCAGGCCACCAAACTAGCTCGAACTAGCTCGGGAACACATCGACCTTAGTGAACTACCAAGCACCCAACAAATATTGCCTGTGGCTATTCACTGTTTCCCATGCAACCTCAGCCAGTCTTCTCAGCCATTCAGATCCATGTGCCTCAGGCAAGCTGAACTATTCCATGTCCCAAAAATCCAGACCCTACTCCCACTACTGTCCACTGAGGAAGCTCTCTCTCATCTTCCCTTCTTCAGACTGCACCAGTCCGTGGACTGGCTCAGTATCTTCTACCCAATAAAGGAGCCCTACGCGATGCTAACTGGAAATAAGGGCTGGCTAATCTCAGAGTACCTCACCTATGGGTGTCTTTGGTGCCTTTGACCTGTAGACAACTGGAGGCCTAAGGTGCACCAAGCACTGCACTTGTGACATCACCATCCCTAAGCACAGAAGCACAGGGCCGGGGATGTAGCTCAGTGGCGCCGCATCTGCCTTGCAAGCGCAAGGTCCAAAGTTTGATCTGCGGTACCCAAGAAAAAGAAAAACAAAAAAAATGCACTCCTCCTAAACACAGAAGCACAGAACAGGAAACAAGTTCATGGAAGAGTAGATCACTGCAGGAGCATCTTGCCAGTAGGTTTTAAGCACCTGGATTAGCGTTCCTCTCTTCAAGCCTTGTGAAACATCCTCCTTGGACATGTAGGTTTCAAATATATTCTTTTTCTTCCCTCGCATGGACTTGTTCTTTGACTTTTTGTCACCTGGCGAAGCACCAGCACCATGTGGGCCAACCGCAGAAGATACACCTAGAAACACGAGGCAGCCATCAGCTCTTCCTTCAAACATCTCTATATTTTAAAACCTGGAGATACTGTCCTTTTTGCTGTCATCGTTATTCTTAATATTGCAAATGAAAACTAACAAGAGAATGAAATTCTGATTATTTCAGTCACAAAAAAAATGAGTAAGAAAACACAAATAAAATATACACAGATGAGACATGATTTCTAAATAAGCATAACACGCATGGAACAAAATCTGAAAAATGGGTTCAGTATGCTTTGCTGATTATAGATAGATATAAAAATTTTAAAAATAGAAATTATTAAAAGATTGTCACTTTTCTAAAGGAGAACAGCTGCACTCAATATAACAGTAAATTAAAACAATGACAAACCACATCTGATCCTAGAAAAATAACACAGGAGAAAATGTAACATTTCACCCAAAGAAGTGCAGTCCCGTTCAGTCCCAAGAGCCGCCCTCTCCCCCACTCCTACTCTTCTGGGTTTCAGTCCTCCAGACGCCATTTTCCTCTTACCACCTTTGGGGGTTCCCAGGGGCTGGAAGTTCAGCCTGTACTCAGAATGGCTCATTACTGGTTCCAAGGTCACCTCTTTTCTCCAGATCCAAGGGAGCCTCCACTGCTCAGCTCTGAGTTCTCCCCGCCTTGGACAGCTCAGCTGTCTCTAGCTGAAACCAAAGAGAGACTGGTGAGCAGCAGCAGTTAACCGGTGGCCTTCTCCTGCCCTGTCAAGAGCTTAGTACTTAGATGCTTTCAGATGGCAAGGCCCCTGCCATGTGCCCGAGCACATCGTCCGTGCTGAGTGAGGCCTTTGACCTCACAGGCACACTACATTGCTCCTCGGGGCACTTCAACTAAAAGTCTCCACAAATGGGGCGCTGGGGTGGAAAGTAAGGAGCCAGCTAGTGAGGTGCATGAAAATAGGAGAGAATGTGGTTTTGAAAGATGGTATAAAGATCCACCATCTAAAAGCTCTAACGGGTACCAAATTAGGGCTCCAGCTGTGGCATTTTCTAGGTCTAACCTTGGACAAGCAGTACTCTACGAAATGAAGTAAGGCAACTCCTGAGAATTCATCAACAGAACCTAACTCATTTGTACAACCTGATGCCCAGAACTACGCAGACAATCTCAGATGGCTCAGGAGCTTTCAAACATTAGCAATATTGTAGTCAGAAGTCTATTTCCCTTCTCTTCTCTTTTTTTTTTTTTTTTTTCCTTTTGATACCAGGGATCGAACTCAGGACCTTGTGCTTGCGAGGCAAGCAGAACCAACTGAGCTAAATCCCCAGCCCTACTTCCCTTCTCTTACCTGACATTACCCCAACCAGGTATCTAATCAGAAGTTCAGGCAGCCCCTTCTCAAGAACACAAGGGCAGCTGCCTGGGTTAGCAACCTGCATGCAATGAGTACCATGCACCAGCCCCCTGGCCTTCCACCTGGACAGTGAATGTGGCACCCCAGCTTCTGTTTCTTCCAAATCCCCCACACACATCCTTCATTTCTCAGTAACTCAGGAGAAAAGAAGCAACAAAGATAACAGGCCATTTAGTGGTGCATGAAATGATCCAGAGATAAGCAACCCAGCTTTAAGGACTGAGCGATAGAGATGGGCTTAGAGAAGCAGCAAGGAAGTGGGAACGGTACAGAGGGGAGTCCAGACTGACAGACGGTAAACCCAGAAACGCACTAATCCTCTCACTAATTCAGCAAACACTTCTGTAAGACACCGTTTGGGTATGACGGAGGATACAAGGTCATTGGGCCTAAAAATTCATATTAAAATAACAATATATGTCGGGAAGTGATTAGCGCATTATTGTACATATGAGGCAGGGCAACAGTATCTTCAGATCAGGGAATCTGAGAGAACGTCAGAAAAGATTTTAAGGAAGAACTAAGAATCTGAGAAAGGAGTACTCTTGGCAAAAGCAAGCCAAAATAAAGATGCGAACAGAAAACACAGGCAGATTCCTACAACATTAACTCCATTTGGCTGGAGTCCCACCTATATGGAGGGAGGCAGCGGCAAGGAAATTAAAACAAGTTGGAAGGTCTAGAAAACCGGCTGGGTTTTTTAAAGACACCAAGGAGTTGCTGAAGCATGAATGAGCAGAAGAATAACTGATCAGAGTTGTATCTCTGGAAAAATCAAGCTGGTACAGGACTGCAAGTCAGAGGAGGTAGAAAGGACTCGCAGACCTGCATCTCCGGGGACACACAGAGGAGACAGGCAAGGGAAGGAGGGCCTCACCCAGACCTGTACGAGCAGACACTGGGAAGACGTGGCCCCAACACAGGGCAGACGGCACACCCGGCAACCAGGCAGGGGAGGAAGGGAGCCACATGGCAAATAGGTAGGTTTCCAGCTAGGGGACCGAGAGATAGGGGTGTCACTGTATCACAGTGGAGACAAATTCTACTTCAGGTACTATGTCCCTCCATACAGAGCACTCCACCGAGTGCTTGGCAAGTGGAGGAGAACTTACTGAGAGAAAGCAGCCAGCCACCTGCACGAAGATGGCAACCCAAAGTGCTCCAGAAAAACACAGAGGAGGGACAGGACAAGGGATGCTCACACCACCTTCCCCTCAGTGACACGGTCGTGTGGGCCCACTGGCCCTGGAGAAATCCCGGACACACCTATTCTGACAAAAATCAGAGTAAGGCAACTTTTACTAACACAAAGAAGCAGAAAATATAACAAAGACACTGTTATAGCTTGTGTTTCGATGCTTTCCTAAGCCTCTTGTCGTCTTAGGTGAGGCTTTTTCTGAGATGGCTGAATCTGGAGTGTGTGACTGACTCAGGGTGCAATGCTAGGCCTGAGGGCGACAGGATTAAGGGTGTGTGAGTGCTGCCAGTCCAAAGTCTGAATAAGATTTTTAAAGCGGGGGCAGAAAGACACTGTTAAGGTCTCTTGCAGCTTTTGCTAACTTGTGGTCACCATGAGCTGTTGTCCTCTTCTGAGACTTCCCTCTGCCATGTGCTACCCTGCCTTGGAGCCAGCCAACTATGGACTGAAACCTCTGCATACTGTGAGCTAAATAAACCTTTCTTCCTTTAACTTTGGGGGTCGGGTATTTTGTCTCACCAATGAGAAAAGTAACTAAAGCAGAAGCTAATAAAGATGTAGGAAAAGAAACAACAGAGTCAGGTACTACAAAAACAGGGAAAGCCTTTCAGCCAGCAAAGCCTTTCATCCAGAAGTAATTTACCAAAACAGAAGAGAAGGAAAGAGGAGAGGAATGGGGCCAGTTAGAAAACGTGGGGTTATCCCTTTGGCGAACCCGTATGTGAATCTACAAAAGGGGTAATAATGTAGATGTCAAGGGAAAGGGTGCTGTTCAAAAAGGAATGCCCCGCGGACTTTACCACAGCAAAGCTGGAAGTCAACAGTGTTGCCCAGCGTGCTGTTGGTATTGTAAAGAGGGGCAAGATCCCTGCCAAGAGAATCAACGCGCCTATTAGGTGTGTTACGTACTCTAACAGCTAAGACAACTTCCTGAAATGCATCAAGGAAAATGATCTAAAAAAGAAGGAAGTCAAAGAGAAAGGTGCCTGGGTTCAATTGAAGGCCCAGCCTGCCCCGCCCAGAGCAGCACACTTTGCGAGAACCAACGGCAGGAGCCTGGGCTATTAGGACGCGTTTATGAGTCTGTGGTGTAAGCGCATGCGCGCGTATGTGCGTGCGTGTGTGTGTGTGTGTGTGTGTGTGTGTGTGTGCGCGCGCGCGCACGCGCACGGGTGTACAGCTCTACCACTCAGCACCTGGATTCAATACCTGGAGCTGCTTAAAAATGAAAAAAGGTCCTCTGAGTTCTAAGAACAGTTTTCTTAACTGAACAGGCCTGTGAAACAGGCCCAAGAGAAATGAATACTTAGAGCAGATTCTCACTGCACATAATTAGTGGTGTCAACGACTTTACTCCTCCTATTCAGTGTGTTTCTTGCTGAAAGTTACAAGGTTTCTATTTCAAATGTACATATACTTGATTGAAGATAGTTCCTCTAAAGAAAAAGATGTATGAAAATAAATGTAAAGCAAGCTATGACATTACAGTTAAATAAATGGTTTAAAGCACCCTCCCCCACCCCCCCCAAAAAAAGGAAAAAGAAAGCAAGAAGAAAAGGGTTCCCAAAAGACAAACGGATGATCAGGGTTTGCTCCCCCTGGTGAGTCAGAACACAACCAGCAGCAACACTGGGTAAGAAGAAGCCTTGGGGGCAAACTGCCAGCAACTGGAAAGAGAAGCCACAGTTGAGAACCGGGTGCTACACAGCAATCCCGATGCGAGGAAGAATTCAAAACTAAGGGGATTTACTGACAGATAAGTGAGGTGGGGGCACGGAGATCTTGACTCCAATGTCGCTTGGGTCAGCAGCATCTGTATCCTCCATGCACAGATAGTGCAGCTTGTGATTTCTACCTCATTGCCTCCAGCTCACAAAGACAAGGAATGGTTGAATAGGTTCAGCCTCATAGCCCCAGCGACTCTCACTGCGTCCAGGACAGAAGAGGTGCCCAACAGCCACTCCATATGTGGACAGATGAGTAGGTCTCTGTCAGCAAGCACTGAGAACACAAAAAACAAGTCAGCAACAACCAGAAAAGAACACAGGACACAGGCAACAAAGGTGGTAAGAATAAGCTGGATTGGAGGCAGGGATATAACTCAGTGGTAGCACAAGGTCCTGAGTTCCATCGCAGTACCAAAAATAGTAAGCCGGATAGCAAGGCAGGCGATCAAACCTCACCTTTGGTACCAGAGCCCTGGAAGGAACAGGGAAGATCCTCAGTTGTACAAGATGCTGAGCAGAAAGTGACCAATCAGGCAACTGTCTTGCCTGTGGCATAGTGGTGAAGCCCATCGACCCCGAGGAAATCAGCACTTCTCCGACTCACTGAAGCACAAGGCAATTTCCAATCCCAACCAACTTCCAGTGAGGGCCCTGATATATGGCCCCTCTGCCTACCGGCTCCTGAAGAGGGGTCCCACCCCTGTCAGACATTCTGAGGAACTGCGCTGGGGTTAAGGCGAACAGGCAGAGATGGTCAACATGTCACATGGTTCAAAATGGCAGGCACAGTGAGGCGAGGGACGGAGACAAGGCCCTCGAGAAAGCAGTTGAGAAGGCAAATCTGAAGAAAGCATCTGAGCAAAAGAAATGCGTCTTTGCAACCCTCTGAATTCCCAAAACCTAGCACAATGCACAATACACAGCAGGTGCTCAAGTTTTTTAACAAATACAGCCTATTTGGGACAAAAGTCAGCTTATGTAAATGCTTATAAGGAGCAGGGCTGGGACTGCTGGGGCAAAGCTTAAGAAAGCCACGTCATAGATGCCTGCGCCACATCTGCAGGGAAAGTGGAAGAGGCAAGAACCTAGAATTTTTGTACCTTCTTGCTTATCTTAATCTCAGCCCACAGGAGTAGCAACAGCACACATAACCTTATGAACCTTAGTAGTGAAAAAAAACTCAAGGAGAAAAAGACGAAAGACTGATTTAACTCGAGTAGTCTTTTCAGAAACTCAGAAAAAGCCAATGGAAAGCAAGAGATAGAAAAACAAGTGAAAGAATACACATTTGATGTAATAAAGGGGGGAAAGGAGGGGGAGACAAATAAAAATCACTGATATTAGAAAAGTAAATGATTTACATTA